ATAGCCAAAACATTCTAAAATATACATATATATCCATTCCTAATATATTCCTAAATATAAAAAAATAAATAGGTTCAGAGGTTGCTACCAAAGCTTTTTTGTCTCTTCTTAGGAATGTACATTTACAAAGATGCGCTCAAACAGTGCTCTCCGTGTCCTCTTCAGTGGATCGCTTCGGCTAAAATGCAAAAATGCCTGTTGTCAGCGCTGGTACTTCACTTTTAACGGAGCAGAATGTGCTGGGCCACTTCCTATTGAAGCCATTATATATCTAGATCAAGGAAGCCCGGAGCTGAATTCTACTATTAATATACACCGGACTTCTTCAGGTATGTATGGCAAGACCACATGAAGTATGAAGGAGTAGAAGCCAGTGGCAGATCTAGTTATCAAATGCAGAGAGTACACCCTGCCTTAGAAAGTCAAAAGACTTAAAGAAGAGGCAGAAGAGTGGCCAGCTAGCACTTACTACTCTTACGCTCTTGTCTCACAGTTGATTATCAATAGTAACAGTACTAGAATTATTTATTAAGTGGTATGTTATTACTGTGGTATTTTTTCATGCAATTTAGAAATGGAAGAGATTTAGATCTAGACAGTTCTACTGATCTCTGCTACACAACACACGCAGAGGCACTGCTGTACTGCCAAGTAGACAGTGTCAACCTGGCTTAAATTACTGGTATTTGCACATCATCTGTGCATAAAATGAGACTAAAACCTCCTGGAATTTCTACTATAATTTCAGGTGAAGCACAAAAGTACCTCCAGAGTGAAACATCTAGGAACAGCTATTCAATTGCTGAACAATGGGCAGACTAGTGAAGTCATTCAACATAAAAGGAGGTGACCCTAGGAGAAGGGGACTAACGTCAAGGCTATACTCTTTCTCCATTTTCCTCCCTGTACAATTTAATGACTGCATGAAATCTAACATCTCAAGCTATGCTAGATTTGTCTCATCAGAGGGTGTGACCCACCTCCAACTATTGGTGCTAGTGGGGAAAACCAAAGGGAATTTCATACAGAAGCAGTGAATTAGGAGCGGAAAAGGTGACAGGGTGGCAATCGCCTTTGCAGGGCTTAGCTGTGGAAGCCAAGTATGGCTGTGTCCCCATCCCCTCTCCCCACCACTGCTAAAAAGGTGGCTGCATGGGATTGGAGCTGCATCCCGGCTACCACTTAGTAAATTTGGACATGTAAAGAAGCAGCTATACCTCCCATTTAGCCATCCTGTGGACTGTGATATGACTCAGGTGCTGCAACAGATGTTGAGAGGCAGCACGGAAAAAGGCAGCGCACAGCTGCAACCTGCGTTGCCACATCTCTTAAGTTACAGTTTTTAGGTTACTCGGGTTTAACTAAATGGCATGAGCTTGCAATGAACTGTGTTCGTAAGTACCTGTGTTGACCTTCAGTTGTGAAATCCAAAGTAACCGTGTCTGCTGAGGTAACCTGCTGTTTGTCTGTAACCAGTGGAAGGTCTGTGCGAAGGGATCAATGCTGGCTTGGTGGACATTGCCATCTGGGTCGGGACTTGCTCAGATTATCCACGGGGAGATGCTTCTACTGGATGGAATTCAGTCTCCCGAATCATCATTGAAGAACTGCCAAAATAATTTTCCCTCCCTTTTTATAGTATCTCCTTTTTTTTTTATTTTGTACAATTTTTTTTCAGAATTTATTTCTATGGAGTTGGATGCCAGTATTTGACTGAAAAGCACCAGACTCCTGCATCTGTAGTCTTTGTCTAGCCTTTCTTTGTACAATGCAGAGGCTTTTTATAATAATCATTTTAGAATATAAATATCAAAACCAAGTTCATTAACTTTTTTAATTCTTTGTTTCACATATGAAAATATATCACCACTGTTTTAAGAATTAACTGTAACTTTTTGTATCAAATAAATAAGATCTTTTACAAAAAAAAAATCCAGGCTATTTTATTGATCATCAAACTGTTTAAGGTATTTTACATGGTGTTACGATACACAATTTTTTTTAGAAGACTTAATAGAAATTTCTAAGAAAGTAAACTTAGGTCTTGGCTTTAGCCTTCAGAAAACATATGTAACACCTACTCCTGTAAACCTGACTACAGAATAGGATGCTCTGCTCTACAGTCTTAAGTCTCTCAACGAACTCCTGGTGACTTAACTGTGACCTGGGTGATGTGGTAAGCATTAAATACCTCTGAATAACCAAGTAAAAATAGACTATGTAAGCTCTCTCTCCTTCTTCCACTTCTTGATAGACTGGATTTCAGTATAAACATTTCTTACTGGTCTGCAGTATGAGCATGCAGATACTAAATAATTTTAGAGGTACAAAACTTAATTTCATTGTTCTAATAAAGTAAGCCTTCTGGATTTAGCCTTTCAGTTATATACAGTCACTTTGGTGTTAATTAAAAGCTAGATATATGTACTGGTGAAGTGAAAGAACGATGTCACAGATATTTGACTGCAGCCTCCAGACTGAGCAAGTGACAACACTGGTCATACAGCATTAGCTTGAGTGTTTTAAGTATTTTTCTTCCAAATGCAACAAGTGATACACTCAAATATTTCTCAAAATTGCACAGATTCTAAAGGGAAACAATAGTTACAAAATCAATTTTACATTAATGAAATAAAAAAAACCAAAAAGCATGTACAACATGCAGAAATCTACACTCTTCCCAGAAATTAAAAGGAAAAAACATTAAATCTGAGATAAAGATTTCAGCTATTTAAGACTAAACCTTAGCACTTTTTTTTTCTTTTTCTGAACAGGTTGTGAAATTTTCCTCAGGCTTCTCACACTGATAGCTCTTGTCTGCAGCTTTTGTTAAAAATTCCAGAGCACACCTGCAAGCTAGGAGAGCATTCAGGCTTTCCCAACTGCAAGCTTAAGTGTGATTTTGCTGCAAGCCAGCAAATTATACAGTTGGCATTTTGTCTCTGAAGAACTGAGCTGTTTTCATTGGCTTGGACGATGGGTTTTAAGGTATCTGAACACAAGCGAGTTACTATGAGCTAAGCTATGGCATGAATTTACAGAATGTCAGTTACCATACAGTGACTGATTGTGCACATGGAGCCGTCTTTGCATTTATCCTGGAGCACAAATAAACTGTTCTAGACCTAGAGCATACTAGCCCAGAGTAGTAAGTGCACAACTTTTCTTCTTTCCTTACGATTTATTCGTATTTCTTCACGATGTTTTGCGGATCCTGGGTGGCAGAGTTGACTTGGTGTTCCATTCAATTAATTCTGTGTATCAGAAAACACACAAAACCAAGTGAATACCCTCCGAAGGCAGAAGCTGGTAGCTGTTAGGGATCTACACAGTAATTTGCATGGTAAACTGGTCATATGCCTTTTTCAGATGAGGTTATCAACTGTATCAGTAGAGGGGATGCAATTGTGGAGGAGAAAGTGACAATTATTAGTAAAGCATACACAAAGTGTGGTATGCGTCAAGGGAGGTTTAGATTGGACATTTGGAAGAATTTGTTTACTGAAAGGGTTATCAGGCATTGGAACGGGTTGCTGAAGGCAGTGGTGGAGTCCCGGCCCTTGGATCTATTTAAGAGTTGTGTAGCTATAGTGGTAAGGGATACAGTTTAGTCAAGGACGTGTCAGTGTTAGGTTAATGATCGCATTCGATGATCTTAAAGGTCTTTTCAAATCTGGGCAGCTCTGTGGTTCTGTGGCAATAGTATCAGCAGAAAAAAAGCAAGCAGATTGCTGAATTAAGATTCAAAATATTGAGCCGTTCCTCTACTCCTTCAGATTTTAACTCAGAATGGAAATCAATTCCCTAATATGTTAAATTTTTATTAAAAAGCCTTATTTCTGCTTTAGGTTAATCTTCTGTCTAAGATAAGGGATTATTCAAGTGCTTTGCTGGATAATATTCACTCCTAAAAAAATAAATTATTTCCTCCTACTTGTTGAATAATCTTTGCTAACTTATTTCCTCCTTAGTTAAGTGATGCTTTCTAGGTATTTCTTTATACCTTCTTACTAAGAGCAGAAGGCAGATGTTATAGCCAGTAATGTATTTCCTTAAAGAAGAATTTAAAAAATTGTAAAACAAACCCAGATCTCCAAAAAGTACATATCCTTGACAGCAATTATTAGCATGCAAATAAACATAATTATTATACAAATTTACTGATATATACTGTAATTCAGTTTTATCACTAAGTTAGCAAATGATATATTCTTACAATCCTTTCCTTAGATGAAATTTGAAGACATTAATAGATCAGTTTGGTATTTTCAAAGGAACTCCTGTGCACAATGTATTTTAGACTACTTATCGATTTTTTTTCCAGAGAATATTATAAAAATTAAGCATGGTCATATTTGTTATTACAGTAGTTTGAAAACTGCATCACTACAGGACTATGGAATTTTAAAATGTAAGTCCATTTTCAAATATGCATTTACTTAGTACTATTTGGTCAGATGTATCAGTAATGGAGACAGAAACTTGCTCTCAGAAAGAGAGAGGGTGGGAGGGCGCTGGCAGGGGAGAGAGAAAACGAATTAAGTAAGTGGCCAGCAATGCACATAACATACACTTTGGTCTGATGCTACAAGCAAGCCAAAAACCACAATGTAAGCCTGTCCTGGTATGAGACAAGAATTGGGTTTCATCAGCTTGGCAATTATTCAAACCCAGGAATGGACAGCTGTTTTACAAAACAATTTGAGTTTCCAAACTGCACCCCACTGAGGCAGCACTTTGGTGTTGGATGACCAATTAATGGAATTTTGAGCATTCCATATCCTAAAATCTGTCAAATAACATAGAGGTGGATTCAGAAGACATCACTGCAAACATACATACTTTCTTCATGAGACTTGGGTAAAGATTGAAGAAAGTTTTGCCAGAGCCCAGAGTTGCTTTTATATGAAGTTTTCCACTTCTGTAGGAGCAACTGTCACCTCGAGACTTGTCAAAATGGATGAGTCTGTTATTCCAGGCAAGCCTGGATGAACTGAACTGCTGCACAGCTGCCTTCACCCAGTCACAGTGCTGGTATTTCACAGTTGCAGAGACATCTGTTTCAAGCAGACGCAACTGATTCAGACAGGAAGGCAGCAACGCAGGAACATTCAGCAAGAGAGATGTTGGCAGGGTTTTTACCATCTCCAGGTTCCTTCCTCAAAGTACTAGGCCAATTCACAGTGTCAAAAAAGACTGCTGAACTGTATCTCTCCCAGATCATAAATATGAAAAATAAAGGATAGGTTCTTTACGAACGCAAGCTCATACCTTTAATTATTCTCTTTTCTAAAACCAAGTAAAAAACCAGACACATTTTCATAAACGACGAAAGTAATACAGCAGGCAGGAGTCACTCTGATCACATTGGGGATAATTCCTTTGTAAAATCCATGAATTCCTTCTTTCCTTTAAAGACACAGAAAAACATTTAGTTGAAATTAATGTCTTTTAACAGCAGTCAAACATAAAACCAAACCCACAATTTTTATTCTTGCACTTTCATTGAGAGAAGAACTTCAGATTAGGAAAAAAAATTTCAGAATAATTTCTTACTGTAGTGTTTAAAAGAGCCATATCAAAATCTTAACCCATCATTTTCTCTTCCGAAGATACAATAATGTTCTGCAAGTCAATTATTCAACCTTGGATTTGGGTGGTTTTGCTGGGCTTTTTTTGGTATTGTCTTTGTAGGAAGCAATTCGCTCTCTTTCTTCATGCCACAAGAACTGGTTAAAATAACTTAGAATTTCTGCAGCCTGCTCCAAAAAAGCACTTACATATTTAATTTCACTGAAGCCAGCAGGGCTGAAAGACTTGGTGGTTTTGGGTTAATGTAACTAAGGAAAGTCAGCATTTATTTTCAGAAAATCATTAAGTTTCTTCCAGAATTTTGATTCCGCTGGCCAATAAATGAAGATCTAATGTATCCCAATTTGAATCAGAGTATTCACATTAGGGCTGTTAAAAATTTTGAGACTTTTCATCTCAGCTCCCTAATTACCAGCTTCATGGAGGCCAAGGACAACTGCAGCACCGAGTACAGTTAACACAGATCCTGGGGAGGTGCTTGGGTGTGGTTTACATCACCCTCTCGCGGGCTCTAGGTTGGATTTGTTTCATAATGAGTACAGCAGTGGTCCCAGAATGGCTGGATACATTTACATTTTATTGTAACTAATAAGCCTTCCTTGAGGCTGCAGCACTGGAGGTCACAAGGCTGAGGTGTTAAGAGCTATTTTCAGTTTGAATTGGCCTCAGTCAAAATGGTTGTAACTGCCTCTGAGCCAAGGGTGGTCCTGGAACAACACAGCCTCATTCACTCATCCATGTGGCCCCACTTAATATCCCAGGAGTTTGCTGACTCCATTCATGTCCCACTAGCAATATGCTGCAACCCAGCAACATTGTCCAAAGTCAGATTAATATTGGTTATTGGTTGTAACACTGAGTTACCTGTGAAAACTCACATACCCCGCGTGGCTGAGGGAAGAGAGTTCAGGAGAAGATACATATAGGTGTGAGGTAACAGTTCTCTGAAGGTCCTACAGGAAGCTGGGACCAAACTACAAAAGCAGTCAGGCCCGAGGGTAACCCAGGGACATCAGTATAAACAGCTCTGGCTCGCACACTTCCTCCTGCCAGGAATTTGGATCAGCCACAGCTCCCAGCAGCGTAACAGTCCTGTGATAATCTAAAGCAGTTCAAGCAAGACTTTATTTTTAAGAACCCCAAAACAGCCAACTCAATGTCATTTTTCAACCTATAAGTGAAATTTCCTTGGGAAGAAAGGAGACAGAATAAACAACAGAAGCCTGCACGATACCACTGACCATCTCCTATCTCCTCCTTGGTCCTTAGGTTATTGCTGTTAGTGGCATCTTGCACAAAATGACTTTGTAGAGCTAACATTTTGTTTGCTCTGAGCTGCACTGGTTGTTCAAGTCAGCATGGAACCGTGTAAATATAGTTCCCATTCCGTAAAGAGTCACTTTCCAAGACACAAGCTTTTAATTCTGCATGCCTACCTCCATGTCCTGCGGATCACATCAAACACACCAGAATATGTATTATGCTGATCTTGAAGACGAGCTCGCACAACTTGGTAGGGGTATGTTGCTGACACAGCAAATATTTTGGATACAGCTGCCATCATTATGTATTCCACCGTGTTCTGAAAGCAACAGAAATTGCCAGGCTTGCCTCAAGTATGGTTCAAATTAGCTAACTTCCCAAAATCTTACTTGACTTTTAAATGTTGAACCGAACAATGCATTTTCCCCCCCTTATAATAGATATATTTTAAAAAAGGCAACGTTTATTCTACACAGTGCTACAAGTAATTAGTTGTAAAATGTGTTGTGCTCTCTCATTCCTACCAAGCGAAACACATACTCAAAAAGTAACCAGTTTCCCAAGTAAGTGTTTAAGACCACCACCCATGGTTCCACAAAGCAAGACCAATAAAACCACCTGTCCCTCTAAAATTCTAAAAACACTTGCCAAAATAAGAAGTTGGTTTTCCTACAGGAAAAGAGTGCTAACCAGTTGCTTGTTCCTATAAAGTGGAAAAGTATTATTTCCTTCTATATATTCTACATTTCAATTAATGTATCAACACTGTGTACATTTGGCTATTCTATGACCTAAACAAGTAGAATAAATTTCTGCTTATTCACGTGTCACAACACATTTTTATTCTCAAGAATCATACCAATTTTGTGTCTGATATTCTGTTTCTATAATTGTTGTATCTCAGTTTCAAATCCTCATATGCCATGAACTGAAGTGCTCCATGCGAAGTTCCAAACAGACCAGGCACAAATCCCTAAAAATAAAAATAAAAATTAATAAAACACGGTTCAACAGCAATGCATAAAAACAACACACAACCGGACCGAGCTGAGCTTATACACATATGTGTGTTCTCTGTTACTTTAAAAATTGTGACTGCACAACTGCCACTGTGCAGCATGACTCAAAGCCCACTCCGGTATTCTTATGGCAGGCATCACACAAGTGTATTATATGTTACTTTTCTCCAGCTGACATACAGGCTAAGGGCACCTTATACAGAATCAGAGAATCATTTAGGTTGGAAAAGACCTTTAAGATCACCAAGTCCAAACATAAACCTAGAACTGCCAAGTCCACCACTAAACCATGTTCCTAATCACTACAACTGCACGTCTTTTAAATACCTCCAGGGACAGTGACTCAAACAGTTTCCTGGGCAGCCTGTTCCAGTGCAGAGTAAAGAAATTTTTCCTAACATCCAATCTAAACCTTCCCAGGTGCTATCTGAGGCCATTTCCTCTTGTTCTATCGCCTGTTACTTGGGAGAAGAGACCGACCCCCACCTTGCTACAACCTCCTTTCAAGTAGTTGTAGAGAGTGATAAGGTCTCTCCTGAACCTCTTTTTCTACAAATTCAACAACCCCAGTTCCCTCAGCCATTCCTCGTAACGTTTGTTCTCCAGAACTTTTCACCAGCTTTGTTGCCCTTCTTTGGACATACTCCAGCACTTCAATGTCTTGCACGCACACACATCAAAAAGTTGAAGGGCACAGATGGAAAGCTAACTCACACAAGGACTTAGGGATGATTTACATTAAAGAAATGAATATAAAATTTGGATCCGTTTGCATACATTCTTCACCCTGCTCAGAACACATCCCAAGGCAGCCCAGCAGAGGTGACCAAAGGTAAAATGAAGCAGCCTGGGAAATGTTTCCCATTTGTAAGAGACAGTAAATGGACATAAAAGTCTAATACGACAATACACGGACACCTTTTCTTTCAAAAAAATCGAAGTAAAGAGGGAAAACAGGTATTTTCTAAAGTGTCTCTACGAGAAAGAGAAGGCAGGAGTTCCTTGAGGAGCAGGACTAACTTAGCTGAAAATAAGCCAACAGCTTCACAGGTTCTGAGAAGCACTAACTGTCTCTTTGAAGAGTTGATCGCCTACACTGGACAAATAAAAACAAATGGGGAATTAATCACCTTGTCCAGAAGTGACTTAATGGAGCCAAAAGCTTGCTGAAAACTGCTCTAAAGGCACAATCATAATGGACTAAGTGATCAAAAAGTGAGTAAAAAAAGAATCCAAAGAACAAAAATTTCCCCCAAAATACTGTTATGGAACAGTTTTATCTTATTTCCCTTCCACTCAGGTAAGACAGAGGAATTAAAAGATGTGTCCAGACATAAAACTATTAGACTATATCAGAAGCTCAGAATGTTGAATAAAGACTTGTCAATATACTGTAATAGCCTGGAGAATGAGAGAGAGAGAGAAGGTATCTTGGTAGGAGTCTACTGGAACAGTGTAATGACAAAATGATAAATTACTTTATAAACTCTTAACCTGCAAAAAAACCCTAATGAAATAACTAAAATAATAGCAGGCATAAAAGTAACACAGGGCTTCTACCACTTCAGAGATTAGCTCTCTGCATGCTACAGATTTCTTAAGTTTATGATATTACTATCAATCATGAAGTGACTTTTAGTATCTCTTTGATAAATTATGTTGAATTTCTTCCCACATTAGAAAATAATTGTCATGAACTAATCCTTAGTGACTATGAACTGAAAAAATGCATTAAGGGCTAGCTAAAGTCCCAGTAAAAACACTTCCTCAAATGCGAACAAGTAGAATTAAACCAAACAAACATATTCCATCAACTGTGAGCATTATCATAGAATTTTGTGAAGTTTGAAGTCAAAAGCCTACAACTGAGGGAAAAGGACAAGTTTGGTTTTCAGAACTCTTGGACCAGAAAAGTAAATTAAACAGTAATAGAAAAACAGAAGAGGAGGAACAGAGAAAAATAGAATTACTGAAAATATCAAAGAAAAAAGTTATCTGGGTCAGCAGAACAAGGAACCGTATGAAATTTATGTATACTGATAGCAGGGCACAAACATTTGCACGTGTTTAGACAGAAAAATTGTTAAAAGACAGAGGAAATAATTGCTCTCTACTTGGAAAGAATTAAAATGATGAATTTATATCACAGGAGAATGAAGTAATGTTTTCCTCACCAACAAAAGAAGAATGTTAAACAACATTTAAGAGTGCTAAATTCTTAAATATAAGCCAGCAGGCTTGGAAAACTTGCACCCAGGAGACCTAAAGCATCTACTGATGATACTTGCTAAACAAGTAACAGCACACTGTAAGTTCTGTACTTCCAAAGATTAAAGGACTCTTAATGTTGGGCCAATATTAAAAAATGCAAGAGGGGAGTGGGGCAACCATCAGCCAATGTGCCTCAATAAAATAAGAGCTGACCCAGGCTTCTATTGGTCATACAAAACAATATGTTCTTGTGGAAAAATGTTTCAAAGCAAAACTGGCTTCTTCACATTGATGAAATATCTTGGCTGATGAAGTTTTTGAACGATATTAATACGTTCTTATTCTTGCAATTTTACATAAAAATCTTTCCTGCCACAGTCTGTAGCTTAGTTTTTTCCTTTATGTACTTTTTCTTACCTTTTACTTTGATATTAAAACCCCATATCTTTAGAAGATTTTTGCCTTGAGCGCTTGACAGGATCAATGGCTGCTCACATAAGTTCTGTATGAATTTTCTTTTGGAGTATTAGAACAGTAGACAGCATATATAATTAGAACTTAAATGGTAAAGCATATAATTCTGAACAGTAGATAGCGGGAAAAAAATTGTATTTTAAAGCTGGCTTAAACAGCTGTAAGTGCCAAAGATCCAGAACAAGAGAAACATGTCCATCGGTCAGTGTTTCAAAGGTTGCCCATCACAATGAAAATAGGCAAATGTATATAGCAAAAAGCTTCTGCTTCTTAGTAAAGTCAGGAACAAAGTTAATTTGGTGATGTGGTATTCACATCACTGCCTGAAGTGTTTGAGAGTGCTCACACCAGAGCAATTTCTGCTACGTTTTGAAAGAAAGCAGCAGATTCCCCTTGTAATCTGTTTAGCGTTGTCTTAATTTGGATTCTAAGTGTGCCAAAGACCAGTAGCATCAAAGCACCTGCCTCTGATAAGTTAGCAAGACACTGGAAGTATGTTGTTATCTCCCTATGCATCTTGATTCCTTCATGGCGAAAAATGATACCATCTTTTACGTGAAAGTTACGTTTCTGTCTCTCTGCAGAACCTGAGACTAAAGTTAAAATCAAGATGATCAAATCTCAGTGGTTTTTACTATATACAAGTACAATGATCTAGAAAGTCACTTAGCTGATGTGCTTCACGCTTGCAAGAAGAAGGAAAACAGCGTAAGTAAAAGACTAGCAAAATAAAGAGACCTAAGTGCCTTAGACATTAATGGACTGGAAAAAAATATTTTGTCCTTAGAGTACAGAATCTTGATGACTCTGTATTTTCTTTTAATCTCCTTAATTTTTCTGCACTACTGCTTTATTTTACTGTTGACTGTTAAAGCATTGCTCTATTTCTACTTGCTGCTTTTACACCACTGCTGAAAGAGAATGAAACTGTAAATACAAATAGAGAAGCATGGAGGCCAGGGAGAATGTTGCTTGCATTCTTGATTGATGTTTTAGTAGTCAGTCACTCTAGGCTAGACGTCTAACGGTTTCCCAAGAGCTCAGAGATATTTTATGTTTTTCTGAAAGTGCCAACTCTACAATCTCAAGATTATTTTACAACATTTGGTCTCTCACACTTTATGCTTGAAGAGAACCATATGGCACTCAACATGGAGTTGGTTGCATGACACTCCACTTCATGGCAAAGTATTTTTTAGAGCTCAGATCTCCAACAGATCTATAGGTGTGTTCAGATTACATAACCCCAAGCTGTTTTTTCCCTCAGATTGTGTGCAGCAGAGCAATTCTGTTTCGACACATCTGGGGGATGGAGGCCAAAGTCTAATGGATAGAGGGTGGGGAAGATCCCTGACTAGATGATGACTGGGACAATCAGTGAAGGAAAAGCTTCCATCTTTTTAAAACCAGGCCAAGTTCAAAAAGAACAAGTTATTAAGGAACACACCTTCAGTTTAATTAACAAACAATACCCAACAGAGCTAATACAGACAGCTTTGATCCCTGCTGGACAGATCAATGCATCCTGAGATGACTAGTCTTGTGCCCCAAAGGACTGAAAGAAATTGGTCAGACTAGTAACAGCACCTTGTGCAATAGAGAGCAAGATACAGAATTGCTTGGACAGAAATACCGTTCTTTAGTTTCAACTTGTGGTCGTATTCTTTGAGATCCACTTATTTGCTGTAAGGAACTCTACCTGAAATAAAGATTGTGAAATGAAGGAAGACACTTGTGTGCACTACAGCTCCTGCAACTCTGGGCAATGAACAAAACTTCAGCTGTCAAACTTCAAATAAAGCAAGAAAGAGAAAAAATGAAAACTTCCTGAAAAACAGAAACTGGAGGAAGGCTAAAGTATGGACAAGTCAAAGAGTCACCTGAAGAGGTGCCTTTTTGCCCAGCACAGACAAGGTTGAGACAATCCTGATAACAAATGGAAGTTGCTCCATGCGCATAGTTATGTAGGTCACTCAGGACCTATTTAGGTCACTTGTTTGCAGATTTAAGCAAGTAATTTGCTCTTTCAAAGGAAGTACCTGGTTTAGTTCCCCACTTGCAGATTAACACTACAAAGAACTATCTAGTGCCAAAGGCAACACATGCTACATGCAGGAATAATCTGAAAAGTAACTCAACGGAAGGACATCTTAAACCCTAACAGATGCAAAAAATTAGAATTTATCTACATGGAACAGAACAGACATACAGGCAGGCAAATCAACAATCCTGACAATTTCAATTTAGGAATAAGGTGCCTTGTTCCTAGTGCTAGGATTTGGTATTGATCTGTATGTAGCACACCAGTTGTTCAGCACAGAAAGGATTATATTTTTCACTGCAAATAGAACAAGTTAATATTCACTAATCAGGACAACTCCTAAGAGATACTGCTCTTGTTCTATGGCATTACTTGCAGTTGCAGAATCAGACTGAACTAAAATAGTTTCTTCACACCTTCCAGGCATTGATGAATGCATCTTGATGTCACGGCCTGAAGGAAGGAGGAGGCGGAAAGTCCAAATCCACTTGCCATCTGTTTCTCTCAGTTAAAGAGAATAAAACTCCGGCGCATGCACAGATCATATTTAGAAGTCTGTAAATTTTATGGATCTAGAGATGACAGATTACAGACCTCAATAACTAGAGGGCAAATGAGCAGTTGTGAAACCATCCACTGTCGAAGAAAAAATTAGCAACCACTTTAGTCATATTTTATGTTCCACAAGATGTCAGAAAGACAGAGATAAGGGATGAAATGGAAGAAAGCACTAGCAGCAAGAGAGATTACGCTATTGCTACCTTCCTTGTTCAAATTCTAATTTTAGGAAGACTCCTAAAAATTACAAAGCAGCTTGCAGTTTGTTCTCATTTCAGCATTATCACCCAAGAGAAGACGGCTCAGCCATACAGCTTACACTATTCTTCAGTAATTTCCTACACTTCAATAGTATAATAGTTTTTCTTCTGATTAAGCCTTTTCACTGCAGTTCTACAATGGGAAAGAAGACTCATAGAATAAAAAGTAAGGAAGATAACAAAAAAAAATCATTTTCTTTTGGTGTAGATGCATATTTACAAGTCTCACCATGCTTCTGAGCGATGCTAGCCAATTTTGGAATTTTTCTTTATTACCTTATATAAGCCACGTATGCCCTCTGTCTTGTATATCTTTATAAGAGCATCAAACATTCCTCTGTATTGCCGCTTTGATGGATCAACACCAGCATTATACTGTAGCACAAGTCGTGTCTTCGTTACCCATATTGGGTTTGTAATACACAGTGTCATGGCTCCTGAGAACAGATGGAAGTTAAGACCGATAGTTATGCCAACTCCAAAGCTTGTCCCACTTTGTTCAGTCCAATGTAACACAAGCTTCTACAAGGATAAAACTGCTCATCCTACAAGAGTACTCATATTACTTGAAATAGGAGAAGTCTCTGCCCACCATTGGTCCCTCTCTCTGCCTTCAAAAGCTCACAGTCAAGTCTAACCTGCTCCTGCTGGGGGTACTTCTGTGGAGCATACGGCTTTTTGCATATTCCTAGTATAGCCCCTTTTTTGCCTCACCTTTTCACAGTCAGCAGTGTAATCTGTAGTAGATAGGAAACATAAGTAATTTCTTAATACACTCCAAACTACTGGAGATATTCTTTGGGTATACAATTGTTCAAAATTTAATGGATACCTCAGTCATGAGAAATACGATTAATTTTAATTTTGCAGGAGAAATCTGACAGGTTAATAGAAGCAACCTGTCATAGATTCATAGGTTACTGAAAAAAAACAGTTATAAAATAACCTATTACTATTTTTCACATCAAACAATACGCCTTACATTTCAACATTAAATGAATGCTCCGACATCCTAATAAGAAGTGTTCTCTATTGCCTGCATTAAATAAAACACAGAAGGACGTAAAAGAACAGATGTTAGGAACAACATGTTAAAAGTCTTGCTGACAGAAGTTGTAGTTTTGTTTCAGATCTTTGGTTTCTAAGAAAACTTGGACCACAGATAAAGATTTTCAAAGACCAATGACCAACTCACTTATTATATTAACTTCAGCAGGTCTTTTCTTTCCCAAGCCTACGTGTTAAACATTTAACAAGTTAACAAGTTGATAGCAGCAGATTTATACAGTTACATTTTGAGACTCAGTATACTACTAAATATGGAAAATGCTTATACATAATGAAAACAAAGTCAAAAGATATTTTGGCAACTGCTCTTTGTAAGCAAATTGAAAAGACCACAGTGATACTTCTATTCTTCTTAGATATCATTAATTTACAGACAATAAATGATTGTGTTTGGACTTGAGCACTTACACTTGCCACCTGTAAGAAAAAGCAGCACTGACACACAAAGGCAGGGAGCAACATATCAAAAGGCTAGAAGTACATATTAATCTTCTTTGTGTTTAAACTCACCAGCTTCTGCAGCTGATACTAGGTGTTCAGTTGCACTGAGACTTTCCAGCTTCCCCTCCTTCTTGTAAGCTTTGATGGCATTGTAACTGGAAAATTTAGAATATATTTTACTGAAGGTGAAAACAAACCTAGATCACTAAAAAGACTCAAAGAACAAACAATGGAGCACCTCACTTATAATAATGGAAAACATTATTAGATAGCCTTTGCAAACAAATATCTAAGCAAGCTATCTTTGTTAGTTGATTAATTGATCTCTGAGCAGTTAGCTCCTTACAGCGAACTATGGGAATACCTATTTAAACTGATACAAGTATTACTGTCAGTATCAATGGGACTGCATCTTGAAAAACTGTTGGGTCTCAACTAACTTCTAAAAGAAACCGGTAAGACAGACTCCTTTTTTTAATGAGAGCAACAGTGACAGGTATCTATCTTCAAGCTCTGAGCTTTCTTCTCTTGATCCAGTTTCCAGTTATTGTGGATTGAGAAACTGTCGTCAATAGGAACCTATAGCGAAGCTTGAGAACTGAAGTACAATGAAAGCGTAGATGACTGACGTGAGGTTTGCATACGCAACTAACTGTTCCCCAGTGTTTCAGTTAAGAGGGATCAGCAGTAAATAAGGTCACAGTGACACAGCTAATAAAATAAAAAAGATAGAATATTAAAAAAGAGGCTTTATAAGCAAAGCCCATCAACTCACAAAAACAACAAAAGAACTATGATTAAAATTATTAAATATCAGTTAAACATTTAGCTTTAGGAGAAAACTTTATTATGTTCTCTAACTCTTAACATGCCACTTTAGGTTTTTATTTTTTGTGATGTTTTAAGCACAGTGTACCAGCATGAATGATGTCACCATCTCTCAAGTTCTTTAGTACTTTCACAGGATGAAGGGAACGCACTGTACCTAAGTAACAGGTCTCTGACTCAGACTGCTAAAATTCTAAACCAGCAAACCATAATAAAGGGTAACGGACCAGGACTTACTAAAAGAATCGCAAGTTCATAAGCCACATAGCACATTTTTATGCCCTGCAAAGAAGATGCAGTTATGAACATTACACTGCACAGAATATGACACATTTTACAGTCCTACTTACAAGAAAAAGTAAAGTCCCCAAGAAGCCCCTGCTCCCAACATGTTTGGAGTTACCCCTTGGTATAAGCCCCGTAGTCCTTCGTGCTTCCAGACAGTGGTCATGCAGTGGAGAATCCCATTGTATTTTGGCCTCAGCTCCAATCCATCGCTTACTATAAAGAAAACAAAAAAACATTTCAGGAAGCATGAAGTTTAATTGTGTAAAAGTCACCACTGAAGTACAGAGTCTCCAAAGTAAGCTGAAAATGGCAATTAAACCTATCTGATCAGCTGTATTCTTGAAATATTCTTTCAAAAGTGTGCAAGAGCTGGGGTTTGTAAGCTGAATTCAAGTCTGTCTGTCAATGATGCTGCAAAGAATCTCCATAACATCGATTTCTGATATCAGCTCTTACTTCCCGGTTGAAGACAAATCATAGGGATCCTTATTTTCAACCCAAACAAGCATGTGAAAGTAAATGAACTCTAGAGGTCACCTAATCCAATCCCCTGCTCAAAAGATCTAATTAGATTAGGTTACTCAGGGACATGTCTAGTCAGTTCCTGAATGTTTCCAAGGCTGAAGAGATTACAGCCTCTCTGGGTAACCTCTTCCAGTATTTGACCATTCTCACAGCAAAAATCCTTTTTCTTAATAAATTACTGGAATTTTTCATATTCATGCTTGTGGCTGTTCCCTCTTGTCCTAGACCTATCCACCACCAACAAGAATCTGGCTGCACCTTCCCTGTGTCCTCCAATCACACAGTTACAGACGGCAATAATATCACCCCTCAGCCTTCTCTTCATGACACCAAACCGATCCTGCCCTGTCAGTCTGCCCTCCTGCATCATGTGCTCCAGCCCCCTTTCACTAGTCTGGTGGCCTCCACTGCCATCACACCAGTATGCCAATGTCCTCCTCGCACTGGTGAGCCCCAAACCAGACACTGTACTTCAGGTGCAGCTTTATGAGTGTGAAATCATAGAATCATAGAACAATTCAGGTTGGAAAAGACCCTTGGGATCATTGAGTCCAACCACTGGCTCTACACTACAAGTTCACCCCTAAACCATATCACCCAACACCACATCTAAGTGACTCTTAAACACATCTAGGGATGGCGACTCAACCATCTCCCTAGGCAGTCTGTTCCAGTGTCTGACCACTTTATCTTTGTCATAGCAGTTAAGTTCTGAAACATTGGTGGGTCTTTGCAACGTGCAGCCATTCCCCCTGGTTCTGTCCCTAATTACCTGTGAGAATAGACCAGCACCCCAGCAACGTTGCCATAGCACAGCCCAGGATGTGCCCACACTAGGATACACACAAAGTGCTCAAATGCAACTTTGCAGGAAGTCTGTTTGGAAATGTAATGCTTTAAATTTGCACAATGTTTCTGCGATAGCTCATTATTTTTTTAATGAGAAGCTGACATCCCTGCAAAGAAACAAATAAGGTCGAAACAACACCTCTACTGTTAACAACGAAGATCATTATAAAACCATCGTGTTAGGCTTTGTGCGCTGAAAATATTTGGCATAAAGGTGAACTTTGAACGTTGCCTTGAGAAAACCGGGAAAAACCCGCACGCTCTGGCTGTGCCCTGCGGCACGGGCGGTCACGAAAGCGAGAGGGAAGCCTGCCCAGCTCTCTAACCCGCCTGAGAGCAGCCCGAGGCGCTCAGCACGCGTTACAGCCCCAGAAATGACCGCACTTGGGACGGGAATGGCGGGCGGAAAGAACCGCTCGCGCCGGGCTGGGGGGCTG